TATTTTTGTTTCCGTGTAGCGTATCGATGGGCTTTGTTCTTTCAGGGAGAGCTTTGCTCTGGTTAAGGGGGCGGTCCTTCTCCTTGATGAAGGGGAGGAGCCAGATGATGAAATCACCCGTTTGTCCAGGCCCTGCCCCACAGGCGGGCGCTCTGGCGCTCAGCAGCGACACCTGGAGGCCATGATTGCGCTACTGCGGCCAGAGGACAAACTGAAACTGGTGAGACTCTGACTCCCTCACGCAGTTTCTTTCACCCCTCTGTCTTATACTCATAATAGGCTGCAACTTCCTGACAACATGTTGAAGCTGATCTTTTTACTCTCCTGCTGCCGTGTTAATGTCCTGGAGTGTCCAGTCAGTGTGTCTGTACTGTATTAACCCCTCTCTCTCAGTGCAGTGTTAATGTCCTGTAGTGTCCAGTGTGTCTGTACTGTATTAACCCCTCTCTCTCAGTGCAGTGTTAATGTCCTGTAGTGTCCAGTCAGTGTGTCTGGACTGTATTAACCCCTCTCTCTCAGTGCAGTGTTAATGTCCTGTAGTGTCCAGTCAGTGTGTCTGGACTGTATTAACCCCTCTCTCTCTCTCAGGCTGTACAGTTGGAGTCAGTCAGTCCAGTCCGTGTAAGGTATCTCTTGGTTGTTTCTACTCTCTCCCGAAAATGTGAGAACCTCCTTTTGGGAATGGACTTCCTCAAGACTGATAGGTACCAACAGTACTGTTTTGTGTCAGTGCTGTCCTGCACACTTCTCTGTATGTTGTCCTACGTTTGTCTCTGTCCCTCTTTGCTGTACTGAGTGTGTTTCTCTGTGTCTGTGCTGTCTGTGCTGTCTGTGCTGTCTGTGCTGTCTGTGCTGTCTGTGCTGTCTGTGCTGTCTGTGCGTCTGTGCGTCTGTGCGTCTGTGCGTCTGTGCGTCTGTGCGTCTGTCTGTGTGACAGCAGTGTCTTTCTCCCTCAGTGATGACTGCACTATCGGTCTTGTCCTGCCGATCTGGAGCGACACGCAGGTGTATCTGGATGGAGACGGGTAAGATGGCTCTTGTCCCACAGGGACATTATTCTAACCAAATACTCAGTGTAATTTAAATTCTCCTGGCAGTTTATCTGATAACTTTAATGAATAGTGACGTCTTCTGGGCCTATTCAAAATAGTCTGCCCCAGAGCAAACATAACTTTCTGTTAAAACTGGAGAATTCTATCAGACTCTCATTGCACAGCAGTCTGATCTACTGCAGTTTTTACAACATTGTCAATCCGATTCCCAGTGCACACCAGTCCGATCTAGTCCAGGATTTACAGCACTGTCAATCAGATTCCCAGTGCACAGCAGTCCGATCCAGTCCAGGATTTACAATATTGTCAATCCGATTCCCAGTGCACAGCATTGCAGTCCAGTCCAGGTTTTACAGGGTTGTTGGCCACACTCCCAGTGTACAGCATTGGAATCCAGTCCAGGTTTTACATTCACTGTCACAGGTTTCTGGAGCAGAGTCAGCACCGTGTGTGTGTTGAAGAAAATGCATTCTGAGAGTCGCTCAGGTTTCAGATTGGAATTTCAGATCAGGTATTTCTGCGTAAACTGAAACAACAACAAGAACAGTGAAGGACAACAACTTCCTTTCCTCTCTCTTCTGCTCTCTCAGCGGCTTCAGTGTGGTGTCAGCAGAAGAGACCAGGATCTTCAAACCCGTGTCAATACAGACCATGTGGTGAGTTAATGTGTCTATCTCTCAGTCGATACTGTCCATACTGTCTCTCAGGCAATACTGTCCATACTGTCTGTGTGTTTCTCAGTCTCTCTGTCCATATTGTCTGTCTCTCTGTCCATACTGTCTGTCTCAGTCTCTCTGTCCATACTGTCTGTCTCAGTCTCTCTGTCCATACTGTCTGTCTCAGTCTCTCTGTCCATACTGTCTCTCTCAGTCTCTCTATCTCTCAGTCCATACTGTCTGTCTATTTATCTGTCCAGTCTGAGCATCTGTGTTTGTCTGTACCTTGAGTCTGCTTGTCTGTGCTGGATGTCTCTGTGTGTCGAGCTCTCTGTGTCTGTGTCTCTGTTTCACTGCCGGACTGCCTGAGCTCTGCCTCTGTTCCTGTGCAGTGTCGGTCTCTCTCCTTCAGTCTCCTCCTCACTCCCGAGGCACGTTGTCTGTCGCAGGTCCGTCCTCCAGGCTCTGCACCGCTGCTGTGAGAGTGCAGTGATCGGCTCTGTCATTCCGGGCTCCGGGCTGGACTGGGCCCAGCACTACAGGATGCGGCTCGGCTCGGACAGGCACTGCATCCACGAGTGGAACGCCATGACCGATCTGGAGTCTGTGCGCCGGGACTACTGCCGAGAGGGAGACAGGTCAGTGGGGGCAGACAGGTCAAGAATGGGTACAAATACATGGATTGCCATGCTCCGTCCGTGAAACACTGCTACTCGAAGGTTCTAGTTTAATAATAATAAGTACTAGCATAATGATAAATAATCCTAACATTATATAGCGCTTTTCTGGACACTCCACTCAAAGCTCTTTACAGGTAATGGGGATCCCCTCCACCACCACCAATGTGCAGCCCCACCTGGATGATGCACCAGTACGCTCACCACACTCCAGCTCTCAGTGGGGAGGAGAGCAGAGTGATGAAGTGATGGGGATTATTAGGAGGCCATGATTGGTAAAGACCAGGGAGAAATATGACCAGGAGCCCTGGGTTACACCCCTATTCTTTACGAGAAACGCCCTGGGATTTTTAATGACCACAGAGAGTCAGGACCTCTGTTTTATCTCTCATCCGAACGATGGCGCCTTTTTACAGTAAAGTATCCCCGTCACCATACTGGGGCATTAGGACCCACATGGACCGCAGGGTGAGCGCCCCCTGCTGGCCCCACTAACACCTCTTCCAGCAGCAGCCTTACTACTCCCAGGAGTCTCCATCCAGGTACTGACCAGGCTCACACCTGCTGAACTTCAGTGGGTTACCAGATGGGAGCTGCAGTGTGATATGGCTGCTGGTGTTAATGTCCTGTAGTGTCCAGTCAGTGTGTCTGAACTGTATTAACCCCTCTCTCTCTCTCAGTGCAGTGTTAATGTACTGGAGTGTCCAGTCAGTGTCTGTACTGATGGTAGAGAATGCTTATATTCTAGACAGATGATGCAGTCTGTGTCTGTACTGTATTAATGATGGTGTTGTATTCTAGAGCAATGATGGAGAGGAGGATTAAGTCTCAGCTCAGAGAGATCATGTGGAAAGAGGACCTGGAGAACATCACTTCCAAACAGGTCTGTCAGAGATTCACCTGCCTCTGGGGTGTCTCTTTGTCAGAGACTCACCTGCCTCTGCTGGAGTGTCTGTCTCTCTGTCAGAGACTCACCTGCCTCTGATTTAGACTTAAATACAAATTCAAAAGTGGTCAAACACCTGACAGATGACATTTAATACAGACAAGTGTAAATTCAATTCAAAATACTTTATTCATCCCCGGGGGGGGGCAATTTAAGATGTACTTGCAGGCTGAAAGGACTGAATAACTTATCAGCTTGTCACTTTCCTTTTAAACTTGATGAATACCAGATTGATTCTCAAGGGAAGTATGATTATTGCCATCGCTCTTGTAATTGTTACTATAGTGATCAACTAGTACCTGTGTGTGATGATGGCAGGAGCTCATTAGTTTTCTGAACTACAATTCCCATAATGCATAACAGCACCTCAGACACTGATGTCCACTCCGTGAGCACCCCAGTGTCTCCTGGGAGTTGTATTTGTGTATGTTCAGACTGGCTGCTGTGCCTTTGTGATGGAGGGTGTGCACTCTCTCACTCGGTTGTTGTGATTGTGATCGCAGGTGCGCTGTGCCCTGGAGCAGTGCCTTGGTGTGGACATGAAGGACTACAAGGAGTTCATCGATAATGAGATGATGGTCACCATGGCTCAGATGGACAAGCCTTCCAGGATCTTCGACTATCTGTACCTGGTGAGAATCACAGGGCCTCAGGGGCATCTCTTATCCTCGCCCTGGGGCGTCTCCCTTATCCTCGCCCTGGGGCGTCTCCCTTATCCTCGCCCTGGGGCGTCTCCCTTATCCTCACCCTGGGGCGTCTCTTATCCTAACCCTGGGGTGTCTCTCTCATCCTCACACTGGGGCTGTCAGGGGCGTCTCTTATCCTCACACTGGGGCGTCTCCCTCATCCTCGCCCTGGGGCTGTCAGGGGCGTCTCCCTCATCCTCGCCCTGGGGCGTCTCCCTCATCCTCGCCCTGGGGCGTCTCCCTCATCCTCACCCTGGGGCATCTCCCTCATCCTCACCCTGGGGCATCTCCCTCATCCTCACCCTGGGGCCTCTCTTATCCTCACCCTAGGGCGTTTCCCTCATCCTCACACTGGGGCTGTCAGGGGCGTCTCTTATCCTCGCCCTGGGGCGTCTCCCTCATCGTCACACTGGGGCTGTCAGGGGCGTCTCGTAAGCTTGTAAGCCGTCACACACTCACTCTGGGGTTTAAGAGAGGAAAGAGGGTGTGTTTCTGTAAAAGTCTGATTTTGACATCATCTTATTGTTACAGGGGTCAGAATGGAATGCGGCCAATTTTGAAGAGCTACAGAAAAACGGGTAAAGATCAATCAAAGCCCGACACTTCACACTTCGCCGTGCAGCTCTGGAATGATGGACATTGACAGTGTGTTAGTAACAGTGTGCATTGTGCATTGATAGTTGTGTACTGTGTGTTGACAGTGTGGGATACATACTGAACGTAACAAGAGAAATAGACAACTTCTTTCCAGAGACATTCACCTACCTCAACATCCGAGTGTATGATGTAGAGACCACAGACCTCCTGTCTCACTGGAACAACACCTACCACTTCATCCACAGAGCTAGGTAGAGTACTGACATGTATTCTAATGTACTGTAGTATTAACGCCTCTCTCTCTCAGTTCAGTGTTAATGTACTGTAGTGTCCAGT